TTAAATCATTATATTATCAAATAGTTAATTCCTAATATATCAAATAAAATATATAAAAAGAACAAAGACTTATGGGCATGGCCCTGCCTCAAGTCTTTAAAAAATTAATAAAATGCTGAATGAGGCCAAGCAGAAAAGCCCAAAACCTTTTTTATGACCCAAATGCTGAACGAGGTCAAGCCGGAAGCCCAAAACCTTTGAATGGTTTAATAATCCAACGCCCGTGTTTTGTCTTTCTTTCTTTCTCCCTTGAAAACTCAGAACTCCCGTCTGGTTCTAATGGCGGCTAAGCAACACTAGGTGGGAGTGAGATCCTATCTTAATAACCTTTATTATAGATGAGAACAAGAAAGATCAGCACCACAATTCTCTGCAATCACATGCTTCAAATTCTGTTTCCCCTCAACCCCAACAAGCCACACATCAAACAGGTATGTTCTTGCTTCTTCTCCCTTTTCCTCACAAAACACCATTTCACTTCTTTCATTGATCCTTCGTTGTCATCATCCTCTAGTCACCAAATAAAACCAACCCAGATAGATTTATCCTCCATTGACTGCACTGGCATAGCAAAATCCGTTATTTTGAGGTGTCCCCATGTCTTCGATAGAAAAGAAAAGTCTTTTGCTAATGCTTCTTTGAAGGACTTTCTTTTGGAATTATCCAATGTAGTGCCTGAGACGGCACGCAGGTTCAGAAGGTTTACTGCTTTGAAACCTGGAGATGTGCTTGAAATATTACTGGGGTTTCAGTTTGATTATGGAAAGGTTGTCATTACAGCTAGGAAGGTTGAGGCTTTATGGGGAATTTTCAAGTGGGCTAGCAATCAGGGTCAGGGTTTTAAGCATCTACCAAGATCATTTGAAGTTATGGCCTCGATGCTCATACAAGCAGGGATGGTTAGAGAAGTGGAATTATTGCTTACAGAAATGGAGAGGCAGGGAACTTTTTTGGATAATAATTGGTTTTTCAGTAATCTTATGGAAGCTTGCATTAGTATTGGTGATGTAGAAACGGCAATTTCCGTGTTCGATAAAATGATGGAGAAACGTCTGGTCCTGCCATTGTCATGTTGTCGGGCATTAATTGATGTTTTAGTTACAAGGAAGAGAACAGAGTTGGCATTTCAAGTTTGTTCTTATATGGTGGAAATTGGGGTACATTTGAGTGAAGATGAGAGGCGTCCTTTTGAGAATGCTCTTATATTACTTTGTAGGGAAGGAAGGATTCATGAAGCCAGACATCTTCTGAAGAAGGTTATGGCATCTGGCTTTGGACCTAGCAGTATAGTTATCAATGAGATTGCATGTGGGTATTGTGAGAAGAAGGATTTTGAAGATCTGTTAAAGTTTTTGGTTGAAATGAAACAGTTACCAGATGTCATGGTTGGCAATAAGATCATACATACTCTATGTAGCAATTTTGGCATAGAGAGAGCAGATCTATTTAGGCAGGAATTGGAGCATTTTGGCTTCAGGCCTGATGAAATAACTTTCGGAATCTTGATTGGTTGGAGTTGCCATGATGGGAATTTGCGGGATGCCTTTATTTATCTATCTGAGGTTTTGTCAAGAGATTTGAAACCCAATATTTTTTCTTATAATGCTATTATTAGTGCCATGTTTGAAGATGGCTTGTGGAAGCATGTGCAGGACATTCTTGATGAAATGGTGGAGAGAGGAACTGAACAGGATTTCTTGACTTTTAAAGTTCTTTTAGCTGGGTATTGTAAAGCAAGAAGATTTGATGAGGTCAAAATGATAGTTTGCCAGATGGCTAATCGTGGTTTAATTGAACTCTCTTCTCTAGGGGATCCACTTTCCAGAGCATTTATGATCTTGGGACTTAATCCATCAGCTGTGAGGTTGAGAAGGGACAATGAAGCTGGGTTTTCAAGAGCAGAATTCTTTGATAATCTTGGGAATGGGCTCTATTTGGATACTGACCTGGATGAGTATGATCAAAGAGTAACTGAGATTCTTAAAGATTCCATGATACCTGATTTTACTTCTCTTGTAATGAAGGAATGTGCTCATGAAAATTTTAGAACTGCATTGGAGATTGTTGATAAAATGGTTTGGTGGGGGCAAGAATTGCCTCTTTCTGTATTCTCAGAATTGGTGAAGGGAACTGCTTCATCTCGTTCTCATATCAAGTTGAGTACCAGTCTTTTGAAGAAAATGCCTAAGTTGGCTAATCAGCTTGACCAAGAGACTTGCAATTTTCTTGTCCAATCATACTGCAATAAGGGATTGACATTGAAAGCTGGGAGCATGTTTTATGAAATGCTCCAGAAGGATCTAACAATCAAAAGTGAGACTTATACTGCTTTGATTAAGGGATTATGTAAGAAAGGAACTTTGAAAGACCTTTGTGATTGCTGGGATATTGCTCGAAATAACAAATGGTTACCAGCATTGAAGGACTGTAAAGATCTTCTGGAGCATCTTTGCCTTCAAGGCATGGTGAAGGAAGCCTTGGAACTTCTTGAAAGCATGTATGTTTCCTACCCTAACTTAAGGCTAGAAATTCTCCATATTTTCCTTGATAAGTTTTCCATCACTGGTTTTACAAGCATTGCACATGCCTTGGTGGAAGAGCTTCTGCAGCAGGGCTGTATCTTGGATCATGTGGCCTATAGCCATCTTCTACGAGGGTTTTGTAATGAAAAAAATTTTTCACTTGCCTTTTTGATATTGGATACCATGATGACTAATAAGTTGGCTCCAAGTTTGGGTGTTTCTGCAGCATTACTTCCTCAGCCCTGTCATTTTGAGAAATTCAGGGAGACTATCACATTAACAGAGACTGATTTGGAAGAGAAATCGGCACTTTCTTCCATCTATACTGCTTCAATGAAAGTATTCTGTATTAAAGGAAAGCTTGGAGAAGCAGAAGATCTGTTTCGGTTTCTATGTGCTGAGGGTCTAACACAGGATGCTGAGGTCTATAACACGATGTTTCAAGCATTCTGCCAGGCTAGTAATTTGAAGAAATCTGAGCTGCTATTGGGAGTCATGATCAGAAAAAATATGAACCTTTCAGTCTCAAGTTTTCGAAATTGGGTGAGCTTAATGTGTACTGTGGGTAGGCATTTCCATGCAATAAACCTGCAGGTCTTTATGCCAGAGCAAAGCAAATCTTACAGCCCTATGATATATAATATATTGATATACCATCTTCTCTCAGCTGGAAAAAGTTTGACTGTTAATAAGGTTCTTAATGAATTGCAAAGAAGGGGACTGCCACTTGATGAAGTAACATATAATTTTCTTGTGCATGGGTTTTCCAAGTGCGGAGATGTTTCAAGTTCTCTGTACTATCTGTTTACAATGATTTCAAAGGGACTTATGCCAAGCAGTTGCTGCTTCAGAATAGCAATAACATGCCTGTGTGATAACGGGGATCTCGGAAAAGCTCTGGAGTTGAGTCGAGACATGGAATCAAGATGCCAGATCCATGGCTCTGTTGTTCAGAATGCCATAGCTGGGGGACTTCTTTCTCTTGGTAAGTTTAAAGAGGCAGAAAATTTTCTGGACCGTATGGTAGGCAAAGGCCTTGTACCCGATTCAATCAATTATGATAATCTAATTAAGCAGTTCTGTTCGTATGGAAGAATGAGCAAGGCTGTTGATCTTCTGAATATAATGTTGAAGAAGGGAAATCCCCCAAACTCCTCCAGTTATGATGCTTTAATCCAAGGTTTCTGTACAAGCAATAAATTGAATCAAGCTCTGGACTTCCATACTGAGATGTTGGATATGGATCTTCAACCAAGCATTAAGACATGGGAGATGCTTGTCAATCATTTCTGCCAAGATAAACATACTACAGAAGCAGAAGAGCTTTTGAATTTGATGGTTCGCCTGGGCCAAACTCCAACCAGAAAGATGTACAACTCTATAATTTCTAGTTATCGCTCTGAAAGCAATATCAAGAAGGCATCTGAACTCATGCAAATGATGCAACAAAATGGTTATTCTCCAGATTTCGACACACAGTGGTCCCTTATAAGCAATTTAAGTAACTCTAAGGGCAATAACAACCACAACAAGGGCTTTCTATCAAGGCTTCTTTCTGGAAGTGGATTTGCTTGGAAAAGGAATTCATAGACCAAATTGCAGTGAGGCACTATGGCAACAATATTAAGCTGATACTGGCTTCTGATCATTCTCCTCATGCTTGGTCCCAATGTTGTGTTGTCAAAAGAAAATTTTCTCCAATGCTGATACAAAAGGTGCAATTGGTACCATTGGTGCCACGATCGATCAGATCAGGCAATATCCATTACCAAGGGGCTGAAACCACTTTTTAATCTTTTTGTATCCGTATCTTTCATCAGATTGTTGGTGGTACATATCATGCTCTCTTAGTGGTGATTGTGCAAACTTGTACTAAACTAAATCTTTGTGGACACATTCTCCTACCATAGTTGCTGCTGTGCCAACCTCATGAATTGGCCACCTTTCCAGTAAGGATGAAGGTTGAACCTTGCAATACCAAGATGAAGAAGAGGCTCGTGAAAGCCTTCCTCCTACCATTGCACCTGGAAAGGATGAGCTGCTGCAGGTATATCCATTATCCCTGTATTTATATGTTACTCCTTATTTGCATAATAGTTAATCTCTTATTGAATTACTGGTTTGGGCTCTAAATCTCTCCATTTGCAATCTTCTGTTACAAGTTGCAGCTTAAAGGCTAAATCAATTTGTTAACAGGTTCACTGAGTCAGATCAAAAGTTGTTAACATTAGCAAGGTCTAAATCCTAATTGATTATCAATTTCTGATGAATTGAAAAGCAACTAAGCAAGCAGCGAAGATTGATGGATGAATTTTGAATGTACAAGCTCAGGCAATCAAGGGATCATCAAGGCTGCGGCTGTAACTGGAAAGATAAATAACCTTGTACTCTTTCATTCAATCTTTGAGGAGATTTTTTTCTCTGAAATTTAGATTAAATTCTTCAGTAAAATTAGAAGTTTGATTAAAGTCTCAGGCATTTACTAGTTCTCTGCAGGCTTTGTTCCTAGAAAGAATGTGAAAACTTGTTTCAATCCTCGGTTTTTTTTTTTAACAATTTTTTTAAACACTAAAATTTAAAGGCTCCTGCCTCTTCGAGCTAAAGGTCAAAAGTTGACAATTGTGTTGTGTTGAAAGACTTAGACTTTTTTTTTGACAATGAAAGACTCAGACTTGTTCCAATAAGAAAAACAAGAGCGCTTGAACAACAAAGCAGAATATAGAATCACATAAACCTCCCAGTGAAACCTTACATATATTAATTCAACTCTGAACGACATTTTTCCGGGTCCAATACGTGCAATTCAAAATTTGAAAATGAACCAACAGTGATGGTGAGTCAGTCAGAGGAGAGAGCTAATGAGGAAGCAAACAGCGAGACTGGCACACCGACCAATCTAAGTGTCTAACTAAGAGAGCACTTGTGTTCTGATTCGTTCTGCTGTTTCCTGGCTTCCTTGTCCCCTCTTCTACGGAAATTTAACTTCAGTGAAACATTACTTCACTGCAAAATGGAATTGCAAACAATTTTTCTTAAACTGGCTTTCAAGAAGAATGTATGTATCATGTTTCTTGAGCTGGCTTACAATTACGCAGGCAATGCCTGCTCTTCCAGTGGCTGCAGCTCCTGCAGCAGCAACTGTTGAGTACTTGGCACACAACGGCAGTGCTAAGATAAATTGCTCAGCCTTCTCTCAAAAACTTCAGCTTGTTTTGCAACTGTATCCATGGCTGTTTGGTTGAATCTTTGAAGGAATCATCACAATTACACAAGTATTATTTTGCCTTTCACTAAAGCATAATCTCGTTCAGATATGCCCCTTGCCATTGCACATTTGACAGTTCAACAATGGCCTTGTCAGTCATTCATTCTTTGCTCTCATCATCTGTGTTTAAAAGAATTGCAGTGTCAACAGGTTGTTAGTCATTATTTTATTATAACGTTCTTTTTGGAGGGTGATCATGAGAAACCTACTGTGTTTGAATAAAAATGAGAACAAGAATGCAGTTTCTTACCTAAGGGCAGCTAAAGGTTCTTGGTGTCTCAAACCTGACTTGGTCTCTGAAGCAAGCAAAAAATGGATGAAAGCCTTTCCATCAGCTTCAAATTCAACAAGGCTAAAACCAGCCTCCTTCCTCACCCCACTGTCATCCATCAACTTCCTGACCTTCTCAGCTCCATCCCACTCACCTTGGAAAGCATATATATTGGAAAGTAATACATAGTCCCCACTCTGGCTCCTTCTCATTTGGAGAAGTTTCTCATTTGCTTGTCTCCCCAACTCAACATTTCCATGGATTTTACAAGCTCCTAGAAGCGTCCTCCAGATAATTGTATTAGGTTCAATCTCCATTGAGTCAATGAATTCAAATGCTTCATTCAGAAGCCCAGAACGCCCAAGCATGTCCACCATGCAACCATAGTGCCTAATGTTTGGCTCAATACTGTGTCTGTCTCTCATAAGCTTAAAATACTGACGACCCTCTTTGACTCTCCCAGCATGACTACAAGCAACTAAGACACCAATAAAGGTGATCTCATTTGGCTTGACTTTAGACCTCTGCATCTCAGTAAATAGCTTGATTGATTCATCAGCATGGCCATGAAAAGCCAATCCTAGTATCACTGAATTCCAGGTTGTGACATGTTTTTCTCTCATCCCTTGGAATACTTCCAATGCCATCTTAATACTGCCACATTTAGCATACATGTCTATAAGTGCATTTCCACATACAGTGCTGAAATCCCCACAAAACATCTCTGAAAGAGAGGAATGTATCTTTCTCCCAACTTCCAAATCACCTGAATCTGCACAAGCAGACAACAAGCTCAACAAAGTAACTTCATCTGGTCTCTCTCCTACCCTTTTCATCTCCTCAAACATCTCCAATGCCTCACCGCATGATCCACAAAGCACGTAACCTGCAATCATGGCATTCCAAGTTACAACGTCTCTCTCAGGAACTTCATTAAAGAGCTTTCTTGCACTCTCCATCTCCCCTTTTTTGGCATACCCCGTGATCATCACATTCCAAGAAACCAAATCTTTCACAGGCATTTCATCAAAAAGTCGCCTTGCCACATCCAGCTCCCCTCTTCTTGCATACCCTGCAGTTAAAGCAGACCAAGGAACAACATCCGTTTTGTCTGAAACATCAAAAAGATCACTTGCTACACTCAAATCCCCACAATTAGCATGAAAGTAAATAAGGGTATTCCTCAAATACCTATTCTCTAAGAATCCATACTTAATCACCTTCCCATGAATTCCAAACCCCATGTTTCTCCACGAAAGCCTGCTGCAGGCCTTTAGTACAAAAGGGAAAGTGTATCTATCTGGCTTCATGCTACGGTTTTCCATCTGGACAAAGAGTAGGATGGCGTTTAGAGGGTTTTGGCTCTGAGCCGAGCCTCGTATCATTGTGTTCCATATGAAGATGTCTGGGTCGGAGATTTGAGCGAACAGTTGGTGGGCATACTCTATGGTGCCTGAAATTACCATTGCACTGGCGAAGATGACCTCTCTCAAGGCAGAAGGGCTTGAGTTGAAGCCCTTGGTGATGAGGGAGGCATGGATTTGCTTGAGTGAACGGAGGCTTGTGCATTTGGCCCAGAGCCTTGACGGTTGCTGGCGGTTGGTGCTTCTGTCGTTTGGTCTCTTTCTTATCATCAGCCGTCGCTTCCAAATAACCCTGAAACGAACGGTATGCCGCGACGCAATTGTAACCACTTTATTTCAAAAATAAAAAATAAAAAATCAGAATCTCATAACAAGTAAAATGTTATAATGAATAATAAAAAATTAAAATATTTTTAATAAATTAAGATATTTAAATAATTTTATAAAAATTGTTATTATTTTAAGTGTTTGGGCATTTAGATTTTCATTTTTCAACGAAAAGAATCCATTCATTTAAAATTTTTTTTGTAGAGATCTTTGCTACACAATATTTTTTATGTTTTAAAATAATGAAATACATAAAAAATTATATCTTAATACAATATATGGTTATAATCACACACCATAATATTAAAATTACACAATATTAATTAATTTAATTATTAAAAATAATTAATAACCATTAAACAATGAAAATATATTGTTTAATAAATTAAAATTAATTTATAAACTAAATACTTTCAGATATTATAAATAATCATTTAAAAAATTAGAAAATTTTAAATTAAATAAAATCTTATGTGGCCTAAAAAATAATATATAACTATAACCATAACTCTCAATACAACACATGTAAATAAACACTAAAATATTTGTGTAGAGTGAATTGTGTATTATTTTTTTACTTTATTGAGTATTTATTACTAGTAGAAAATTGGAAGAAAAAAAATCCAAGTAATAAAGGAAATACAATAAAAAATTTTAAATGGTTAAGTAGAGGTTAAACGTTAAACCTCCAATTTAATCATTGAACTATTGTATAAATTTTTTATTTGGTTCTTAAACTAAAAAAATCTTTGATTTAATGCTTGAACTATTGTACGGATCTCAATTTGGTCCCTATTGTTTATCGATTTACCTCAAATTGATCGTTCCATACAAAAAGCAACTAACGTGTCGGTTACTTAACAATGAAAAATAGTAACTTAACAATGAAAAATAGTAACTTAACGATGAAAAACAATAACTTAACAGTTACGTATTACGTTAATAACAAAATATGTCAGTTGGTTTTTGTACAAAAAAACCAACTTGAGGTAAATTAATAAACAATATGGATCAACTTAAGTTCGTATAATAATTTATAGACCAAATCAGAGATTTTTTTTAGTTCAGGGACCAAATCAAATGTTCATACAATAATTTAACTACCAAATTAAAGATTTAATCTTAAAGAGAATACAACAAAAATGAGACCAAGGTGAACTCTCAATCTCGTTTTGAAGCAAGTTCTATTGCCGACGGACGAAGACAAGAGATGAAAACGGAGATTACATAGATATGAAGCCTTCTTTTACAAGCAGACCGAAGATGAGGACGAGGAGGCCGACGGTAACGCACTGAGTCGGAGAGACGAAAGTCTGCGAGTAAGCTGACAAAGTGATGCTGGCGCCGACCAGTCCGATTAACAGAGCACTCACATTCCGATTCATTTCTCTCCCTCTCTATTCTGTCTTCCTCTACCAATGACTTCGTCAAGTTCCGACAATTGAAAAATTGGGAGTCCACGACTTCTCAAGGATTGATCTTGAACGTGTTTAGGTGCATCCGATACGTTAGTTGCGGCAAGGCAACGCTTCTGTGGGCATTTCTTTCTATTTATGGTTTATTAACCCCCATTTTTATCCTTCTATTTTAGTAAAAAATTTCTTTTTAATTCTTCCACTTAAAAAATCTCTTTTTATTTTTTAAAATTTGAAATCTCACCCATTTTTAATTTTTTCGCTAAGTTTTACATACATAACATATTAGATGATAAAAATTTTAACCTAGATGGACTAAAAATAGATTAAAAATAACCCAATTTGATCCCCTATTTTAAAAAAAAAAAAACTTATTTTTGGTCATCCTTTTTGAATTTTCATCATCTATATTAAAATTTTACAAAATGACTGAAAATGGGGTCAAATTTTAAATTTTAGGAATAAAAAGGGATTTTTTAAAGTAGAGGAATTAAAAAGAGACTTTTTGGCAAACTAAAAGGACCGAATTAGAATTTTAACCTTGATTTTTCTTTTGTTTGAACCATGAGGATTTTTGAAAAAATATATATATTAATATATTATAACTGTCTCAATTTGAATATTGACATAGATCAAGGTATTTGATATATGTTATTAGCCTATTAAGAATTATTAGTGCTTTTTTTTTAATTTTAAATTATATAATAAAATGTAACTTTTTTTCTTTAATTTATTTCATAGAATTGACATTGAATTCAAATTTATGAACTCTTATTTCCATTAAAAGAAAATTGCCATTAACTTTGCTGGGTACATCTGGTCTTAAATTACAATTTGTTCACAAATTATTGGGGTAGATGTCAAACGGGCCGAGTGGCCTATAGCTTGTACAGCCCGGCTTGGTATACCGGCCCGCATCCCATCAAATCAATGGAAACTCTTTGATCCAGCCCAATTAATATACAAAGTAGGGATTCACACACACACATATATATATAAGTTTTATAGATAATCTTTATATAAAATTTTAATAATTTATTTCTCTACTTTTAATAGTTGAGATTTATCATGATTTTTTAGATAAAAAATAATTATTTTTAATAAATATAATAAAAAATAAATAAATCTTAAGGGAGTTTTATGTTTATAAATTATACAAGTCAACATGTCATGTCTTGCATGGAAGCTAAGCGGAAGTGGGATAGGTAGTTTTGCAATAAGGGAGCACTTTAGGAATTTTTCGTAAAGAAAGGTTGTGTAAAATTGAAAAAGGAGCTAAGCTAATGACACATTTTTAATTGGGCATTCAACATGCTGTAATTGGGTATTTTTAGGGAATTTAAGTTATCTTAACTTTTAAAATTTTTAATTTAATGTTAACTATCTAAATAATTCAGTAATTATCTCATTCTGTTGAAAGTAAGAGACGTTAAGTTCAAATTGCATGACATGCAAGTGAAATGAGATAAAAAATAAAAAATAATTATCTTTTATTATACAACTAAAATAAAAAAAATTAATATTTAAAGATGTGGAGCAAGTACAGCAGATGGTCCTAAAATTAGAACTTAACTTTACATGACAATCACAAACTGTTCCTCTGACTATATGCACGGCTTTACTTTACATTACATTGAAATTTTGACATTCAAATCTCAATTCAAAGCAGTATTATTGCAACAAAAAGACCTAGCGAACCCCTATGTTGGTTAGAACCTAATTAAAGGGGAGAAAATGAAGACTGCTTCAGGAAATGCTGAGAGCTCTAGACCAAGAAATGGAGGGAATAGAGGGGTATACATTTTTTTTTTTTTTACAAGGGTAATGGTTAGGAAGTTAGTATGAATTAGTTATTAGTAACTGAGGATTCGATCACCAAATCAGGTGAACAGTCCACCCCCTCAAATGAGACGTGCGGTCATCAGGCTGTTTTTGGTGAAATTCACGATGATAGTAGAGTTCAAAGTTTCGACCACTTCACTCAAACACTTAAAGTTTAGAGTCAAACCATTAGGCCGAAAAGCCCGATTTAATAGAGGGGTATACTTGCTCTAGCAGCAAGTGTGTTTCTCTTTCCACAAGTGTCTGCAGGTGTTGCAGAGTGAACAAGTAATTGGACTCAATATTGTGT